TAGTAGTAGTAGTAGTAGTATCATTCCTATTATTATAACTATTGTCACTATTATATGTATATGGGGGTTTCCGAGAATAGGGGACCCTAGTATAGTACCCTAAATAGTAGGATCCTTATTATAAGGACCCCAAAACAAGGTACCCCTAATTTTCGGAAACTCCCTTTTAATAATTATTGTTATACGACTCAGGATTTCCAGGTTTGGGCTCTTGGGTTTAGGGCTTTGGGTTGCAGGGCTGTCACTGCGAACGCCGCAAGATCAACATGCGGAACCCAGAGAGCCCAATACCCCTTAAGTAAGGAATATGCCTTAAAATATAGGGGCCTTAATATTATGATTTGAAGTATATTCCTCAATTGAAGCGTATTGGACTCTCTGGGAACCCTAAAACCCTAAAAACCCCAAACCCCCACCCTAAAACCCTGACCCTAAACCCTCAAACCCCAAACCCTCACACCCTGACACTTATAGCGTAGAACCCTCCAAACCCGACCCAATAGAAAAAGGTTATAAAAATAAAAATCCATCAAGCCTCCAAAACCCAATATGACACCATGGAAACCCTCTAAGCCCATAAAACACGAACAAGAAGGGCTGAGACCCCTAAAACCCTAAACCCTTAAACCCCGAAACCCCTGAACCCCTAAACCCCATAAACCCCATAAGCCCCCTAAACCCCCTCAACCCCATAAACCCCATAAACCCCAAACCCCCTAAACCCCCTCAACCCCCAAACCCCATAAACCCCAAACCCTCCAAACCCCCTTAAACCCCCTAAACCCCCCAGAACCCCTAAACCCCAAACCCTGCAAACCCCCTTAAACCCCCAAACTCCCCAGAACCCCCAAAACGGGTTGAGGCGCCCACAGGTGCGCCAGAAGACTAGGGAGATAGTCTGGAGCCTTCAGGGCGCGTCCCGCGGCTTTTCCCACCAAGAGTTCAGGGAGGGCCACCCTGGGTGTCTTTGGGTTTAGGGTTTAGGGGTTAGGGGGTTTAGGGGTTAGGATTTAGGGTTTAGGGGTTTAGGGGGTAGGCTTTAGGGTTTAGGGGTTGAGG